CCACTCTTTCGAATAGGCTTCGTGTACGTCTTGAATTTGTTTCGTCAGAGCGCGCTCCTTGCGTTTAATCCGATTAAACCGTTGAAATCCGTGGATAAAAACCATTCGCATGAGTTCAGTACCCTGTCGACGCATAAATGTTTTCACTGCGAGCGAGAGAAGCGTAAATCGTTTCCAGCGACGAATTCGTTGACGAAGGTCCGAATTAACTCGGTTTTTCATCACTTTACCTCGTAGAGCTTTAATACAGCGAAAAATCCGAGCTTTTGTACGCCAATCTCTCCAGATTTTTCGCAATAATGTGAGCTTTACGCGATCATCTACCAGCAACGCACATTGTCGAGATCTTTGTCGAAAAACAGCAACGCGTCTCCACTGTTTCATAATAGTTTGGAGTAAAAACTCGCGTTTTGCACCTAGTTTCGTCCTGATAGAACTACGGAAGTGAGCGTAGCGTTTCCAGCGAGAAAAAACACTTTGTTTCGAATTTTCCATCCACAATAACGTAAAACGCTCTTGAATTCCTTGCAACTGTCGAGTTTTCTGCTTGATCCTCTCTTTCCACGCGGTAAATACTCTAGATAAAGTCTGAGATTGCAACTTGACCAAAAATCTGCGACTGGATTGAATCAATCTTATGTAACGAATCCAAATGTCAAAAGCTCGACGTGACGTGTTCTGGTACCACATTTGAGCGCAATTTCGAGTCAATCGATCGAGTCGTGATGTTAACCTCCATTCCAGTAAAAATCTATGCCAGGAGCGTCGCTGATAGAAATTTAGAGCTCGAATCTGGTCTCTTTTTTTCGTATTTTGGAGTGATTTGTAGCGTTTCCAAGCAGTAAAACCCTTTGAAATTGATTGATTTCTCCACTTTGCAACGGCAAATTTGGTCTGGCGCTGGGTTATAGTATACAAAACCCAGGCTTGAAACGCTCGACTTTCGCTTTGATGGCACCAGAGCCCACGAGCACGAAGCAGCAGCTCTTGTTTGTGCTTTTTCACGGTTAGAAACGTCTTCCAGGCTCTGAAATGCAGCGGCAACAAATAGAAATAGCGGAACACGACAGCTTTCTGCTTCAAAGTTTTCGTAAAAATCTGTCGAGTTACAAATTTCTTCCAGTTCACAAAGTGCATTTGCAGTCGTGAAGTTGTCGAAACTTTAACAGCACGCGTAAATTTGAGTTTCAGCAGTTTTCGCATTTGAACAAACTGCTTCCACTTGTTGATCCGCCTGCGTACTCGGAAATTCTTCATTTGTACCACTCGAGCGGCGTTATTTTGGCGATATTTGCGCTTCCGAACGATAAACTCCTTCCACCGAGAGAAAAACGCGACTTTAATGTGTCCAGATCTCATCGCAACGATGCACATCTGGGCCGTTTTCAGCCGCTTGTTTAAACGATAATTGTGCCGTAATTTTCGGATTGCACGTGTCAGCTTTAGTGTGTCAAGTTGGTACCTTGCTGTCTCCAAGTTTCTCGATAATTTCTCCTTATTTCGTGAAAAAGTTGACCATGCAGTGAAAATTCGCTGCACCGACTGGGTACGATACCGAGTTTGAACAATCTGATTCTTGGATTTTTTGTTCTTGCGATTGTGAGTATAATCCAAAAAGCGTTTAAACATACTTGAAAGCAGATTCTGACGCCACAATGCGAGACATTTTACCACAAGATCCCGACGCTTGTGCTTCTGTAAACGAATAGTATTCCAACCTCGGATTGCTCGATTGAGTTTCAAACACAAAAATCTGTTCTGTATCTCCAAAATCCGAAGCTCATGAGCTGCTGAAAGTCGATGTTTCTTTCTCCACGCATTGAAATGACTCTCCAGAACTCGCTGCTTCGACGTGAACAACATGCTTTGAAGCATGTGGCGATGCCGTTTTCGGATGGATAAAATCGTTTTCCAACAGTGAAAACAGGAGTAAAGTTGTCGGTTTTGCCACCTTAAAGTGACAGCAGATAGTCGCCTTTGCTGTCCTCGTCTGACTTCAAGAGCGTGTCTCCAATCCTTCCATCGACTGGTTAGTAACCTTGTGCAAACCATTTGTCGAGTCGATTCAGATTTTCTTGCTAGCTGCAGCTTGAAAATCAGTAGATTTTTCCACTGTTGAAAGAACGCCTTGAGGTGGATATTATCCAGCGTTACCTCAACTTGAAGCACTTGTTCGCGCCGCTGTCTGGATTTTAACACAAATTGCTTCCATAAGCAAAACATGTTGGATTTTCTGTGGCGATATAGCTGGATGTCAGCTAGTCGAGCACCTGTTCGTAGCCAGAATATCCGTCTCCACTTATTCCACTTCGACTGCATCACATTGCGGCGCTGAATGGATAAATGTAGCTGTTCTCCACGATCACGGCATGATTTTTTCCGACGATAATGAGCGTGCCAAGCCAACAGAAATTTTCGTTTAATATCCACAAATTTTCTTATTCTGGAGCTCTCGGCTGCTAATTGTTTGTCATGTTGGGAGTGCATATTCTCCACCAACAGATTCCAGTGGATTTTTAAAACGTTGAGTTTGTGGAGTTCTTGACAATCCAAAAAAGCAAAATAAAGTTCTGCTTTCTTTGTCGTATAATGTTTCCATCGAGTGAAGATTTTGGTCATTAGATGATACGAGTACGCTGAATCCAAATA